TCCTACCCTAATATTAAAGCTCATGTTCTGCCTAGGAACAATAGGTATATTTTCAGCATTAATTTTGCATTCAATATAAATCTAAAATCATGAAATCACCATTGTTTTCTTTATTTATATGTCTATTTTTATACAAAAAATGCAAGTATAAATCGTTCACCCACATAGAGTAACATTCAACCTAGTTTCTCTTTGCTATTTGTTGTTAGCAATCTACACTAGCAAGTGCACTAGGATTGCAGCAAGTAATGAGTAAATTTAAGATCCAAATATCGTCTCCACAGGGAATTTAGATTCAAGTATCACTTCATAGAATTATAACCATTTAAGCTTTTTCGAAATTGTAAAGAGAGTGGTAACATCTAATAACAGCAAACTGGAACAATTAAAAGTAAAATGAACTTGCAGAAAACAAAACAATGAACACACAGTTATGTGATAACAGAGGGAGAAACCATAGCTAGGGAATTGCTTCACCAAAACTCCAATGTTTAATCAATAAAGTTCTGAATTAACAAGCAATTGGAAAGAATGACAATCAGTTTCACATTATACTATTCAGAGGTTAATTCCTTAACTCAGTGAACCTAACATTCAATTAAACCATTCTAATTCCTTAGATCTAATTCAATTCAATGTTGCTTTAAGCGTAAGAAACCAAAAGATTGCAAGATCAAAGTTCCTTATCCCTAAGAAAACTAAAATCTCGGTGATTGGTTCAGATCTGAAGAACAAATTCAATTTCCATTGACAAAGGTTCCTCTGAATTTAGTTAATCAAATTTCCATTCAATTTCCACGTGAAGTTCAGAATCAATCACTCAATCTATTCCAAAGCTTGAAATCCAGATCCAAATCAATTCAACATGTTCATTTCAGATCTACAATCCCTAACTATGAACGAATTACACAGCCATGGTAGCAGAAGAAGAAAAAGAAAGAGAAGAAGAGAAGAAGAAACTCAGAAACGCCATGGAAGCTTGCTCCACTCCAATTCCTCTTCGTGAAGCTCCAAGATCTGAATCCCCACTCCTCTCTCTCACTTCCTCTAACCAGAAACTAACTAAAAAAACTGAAAATGAACAGAATCCCTTTTTTCCGGATCGTTTCTGGTATTTATAAAATTTCCCAGATTTTCACGTCATCACTTTTATGAGAAATAGTAGTTACGCAGAGAGTTTTTGGTTGCGCGTTAACACTTTTTCTGATAAAAGTGACTACGCACAGCTCGCCAAGTTGAAGATTCTCTGGAACGATCACTTTTGATGACAATAGTGGTTACGCAAAGCTTTCCTGATATTTTGCCTCTCTGGAACTATCACTTTTAATAATAAAAGTGGTAACGCCCAGGCTTCACTTCTTCTTTGAGCTCTGAAGTGATCACTTTCACTGACAATAGTGATCACGCCCAGTCTGTAATTTCTTATTCTTGAGTTTTTGGAGTCCAGATTTGCTTCTTTCCTCTTCCTTGTCATCAAACTTCCATGAATATGATCCTTGCTCAATTTATTCCTACAAAAACAAGATTAAAAACTTAATTCCTAAGCAAAAATTTCACAATTGCTAAAATAACTACATATGTAAACAAAATTCAATTCCTTCTCTTTTTCTATGTTTTTCTGCTTTCTTTATATATTTTTCTTATCATTTGTGTTAGAATTATGCTAAAATATCAGTCAAAATATGGATTCATCACTATTTCTAGAATGTCATTTTCAGAATCCAACATATTGACAAATTCATAAATAATTCATTATGCTGTCAAAAATTATGAAATCAATGAAGTTATGTTCCTATAAGTATTTATTATCATACAAAAACACTGTCACAAAATAAACTCTTATAGATTCTAGTTCAAGACTTACTTTTTGTCTGCAGGTCACATATTATCTCATTTCAGTAACAGATTCTTGAAAAAGTTGTAACTTATTCATTTTAAATCTAAATATGTCGAAATCAATGGAGTTGTGATCCTATTGTATATCTATTTTCAAGAAAAATACATGTTTAGATATGAGGCTCACAAGTCTCTCTACTAAGAACAAACTTCCTCTAGAAGTTACATGATTTTATTTTTCACATAACAGTGGGTTAAAAAATTCATATTTTACTCATTTTAAATTAAAAAATGATGAAATCAGTGAGAATATTTTCCTTTATATGTCTACCTTTCAAAAAATATTATAATAATAATTTAAACACTTATAGAGTCTTGCACATGACCCAATTTTCTTCTTCGAGTCACAACTCCTTCTATCTATCAACAACTTAGTAAATCAATAAAAAAAATTACTCCTAATACAAACTGATATCTAAATAAAATACCTTTGTGAATTTTTGAAAACAATCTCTATAATTTATAGAAATTATAGTTTAACCTCTAAACTTTTGATTATTTGCAAAAAAAGTCCTTTTATCAAAACTTTGTGAATTTTAGGTTATTCAACATATTTTTCCCTTGCTTCTAAGTCATTATCCAAGTCTCAATATGGTAAAAAAATATTCCTTTAATATTTTCTTATTTAAAAGTTTAATCTTCCAAATTTATTCTAATATTGTAGTCAACTTTATGTACTTCATATAGTCCAAAGGTTCCCAAAGTGTTCGTGGATTCAAAAATTCAATTTCCTAGTTACTTCCATTTTAAAGTCATTTTCCTTTAAACTCTTTTACTAAAGTCTTTAAAAATACATTCAAAATGTCATTTAAATTTAAAATAAATTCAATAACTCCATAATAAGAAAATCATGTGTCTTGACCTTCTGAAAAAAATTCTTGTGATTTTAAAAGTTTTCTAAGACAGAAAACAGCATAAAAACAATTCTAATTATCTCAAAATTATAAATCATCTTGAAATTATTTGAAAATTCTTTTATATGGCCTACAAAAGTCCTCAAGGGGCAACGCTTGATGGAATGAATATTGAAAAGAAGAGAAGTAAAGTCTTCAAAGTCAGCAAATCTCGCTTGACCAAGCTTTGGGTCACCTGAGCAAGCTATGGATTGCCTAAGCAAGGACGTCAAGCTGCAGGAGCTGCATTCTGTCGCATTCTCGCTTGAATAAGAAGCTCACCTGAGCGAGGAGAGATCTAGCATGGGCAAGATCAACTAGGATTGGAAGGTGCCTCTGTGTGGTTCTCGCTCAAGCAGGAATTCATTAAATGCCCTAAATTTGAAGAGCCCAAAAACAAGAGAGGGGATTGGGTAGATCTAAGAGGGTTGTTTGGACACTATGAGTGTCTAGAACTTCATAGGAGATTGGATATAATCTTAACTTTATAAGTATTTTAGTTCATTAATATAGTTGTTCATTTTCCATGCGTTAGGTGTGTTTATCTTGATATTAATGCTTGTTTCTACCTTACGAGGAATGATTCGTGATTTGGGAAGTTAGGGTGAGTCGGGAAACTACCTTAGGACCCGGCTGGGATAAACTCACACAATAGGTTAAGATTCTAGGAATAGATGTTAATCTATTATATGCTTAACAAGTCTTGATATTAATGCTCGGTTATTTGTTGTTTAGGCAGGGAATTATCATTTAATAAACATATTTTAGAATCTCAGGTGAGAGGAATCCAACGAGTGAATATAATGGGAGTGCATCATAAGACTGTGGTATTTGTTCAAACTATATTATAACTAAAATATGAAGTTAGTGATCCCTGCTCTTTATTATCATAGTAAATTTACATTTTGTCATCTTGCTAAATTTTTATAAATCCAACCAATCAAAGCCAAATGAATTGTAGTTATAAATTTGTGAATATTTAGGATTGTTAATTTTAATTGGGATAACTGAAATTGCTTGTGTATCAACACTCTCTGTGAATATAACAATTTTTTATACTACATCGAAAACTTGGTACACTTACAAAATACCTTAATACTTTTATGGGATAAGGACATTAAAATCAATTAGGACGGTTCAAGTCAAGCAACTTTACTTTTGAAATCTCTCCTTAATTCAGCTAAATCCTTGTGGAAAGTAATTCCTAAAAATCATGCTAAATGTGGAAAATTTGACTATTATGATGTCAACTTGTTGGTTCTAGTGTACTTGATTAGTTTACTTTTAATTCTTGATTATTTAAGTCAAATTTTTCTCTTCATATAACACTATTTATTGGTTAAATTTGGTTTGATTTGATTGCCATTTAATTAGATTATTTGATTAGAGATTAGATTATTAACTCAAGTGTTATTTTCATGAGTTTTGGTAAATCAAACTTTTTCTCCTATTGGCTGATTTCACTTTAACTGATTCCTTAATATGTTTTCTGGCACTGTTGCTGGGGAGTGTGCTAGATACTTAGTAATTTTTATTTTATCCTTATTAAAATTTATTCAATTACTTTTTGTATAGATATTGTTTGTTGACTTAATTATCCTTGTGCTAATTTCCTTGTGAAGTGTTTGTTCTTGTATGTGAGGTCATAACTCGGCTGAACCTTTTGTTTTCTATCCAGAAATAAAGAGATCAATCAATAAAAGGAGACTTGCAGCAAGAAGAAGAAGACAACAAGAAGAAGATAAACAAGGAGAAGAGCAAGTGGGACCTTTTCAACCTCAACTTGAATCTCAATCTGATCAACCACCTCCCGACCAGTCAAAGATGGGAGAAGAAGGAGCAAATATGCCAAGGACAACCCTTGGTGACTATGCGATCTAGCAGAGACTAAGGCATTTCTCTAGTATTGTGGTCCTAACCACTGGGTTAATTGCGATGAAGCCAACATTCCTTAGTCTTGTGGGTGTCAATCCATTTTCAGGACTTAACCATAAAGACCCACACACTCACCTCTCTACATTTTACGAGTTGTGTGGCACAATTGGTATCTTTCAAGGAAGTGAAGAAGCTGCATATTTGAGACTTTTTCCTTTCTCTTTAGTGGGAAAAGCAAAAGCATGGCTGCAATCATACCTAAATCAGAGCCTAACTAGCTCGAATGATGTGGAGGAAAAATTCCTAAATAGAATTTTTCCACCATCTTGGTTTATCACTGCTAAATATTACATTTTAGTGTTTTGTCAAGGGGCTAATGAATATTTTTGTGAAGCTTTGGAGTGCTTTAAATCTTTGTTGAGGAAATACCCTAATCATGGTTTAATGATATTGCCCAACTTAATATATTTTACAATGGTTTAAGGCCTAACACCAAAATGATTCTAGACACTACAGCTGGAGGTACAATGATGTCAGCTAATGTTGAACAAGCCACAAGAATTATAGAGGCTCTTGCCTTCACTGATCATCAAGCTCAACATCATAGGCAGCTGGTGCAAAGAAAAGGAGTTTTGGAGCTGAATACCACAGATGCACTATGGGCTCAGAATAAGATTTTGACTCAACAAATTTATGCTTTTACCAAGAAAATATCCAGTCTTCCTCAACAACTACATGTTGTAGCCTCACAGCCTATTCAGCAAGCACAACCTCTTATGTGTGATTTTTGTGGTGGTGACCACCCTAATGGTCATTGCTTTTATTCTCCAAATATGCAAAAGGAGGAAGCACAATACATGAACATTCAACCACAGCCTAACAACTTCTCAAATAACTCTTATAGCAACAATTATAATTGGAAAAACAATCAAGGCCAAAACTAAGGGTGGAGGCAAAAGACTGGACCATCATATAGGCAACCTCCATTTCAGTAGCAATATCACTATTCATCACTTCATGAGAGGCAATCAAAATTGGAGGACACTCTGCAGAAATTCATGCAAGTTTCCTTGGTAAATCCAAAGAATACTAAAACCTCAATAAGGAACTTGGAAACATAAGTGGACCAATTAGCTAAACAGCTTTCAGAGCAACTGTAACACCTTAAATTTGATTTCTAAATAATAAAAAAATTTGCAAAAAAATAAGGATATTAAAATTTTTCATTTAAATAAAAATTCTCATCACATGGTTTCACAAATATTTCAAAATGAAGAAAATAGTTACAAGTTTATATCAATTAACTGCTACAGGACTATTTCAAATACAACATTTTCAAAATAATATCATAAGCCCTATAGCAGTTCCATCCAACCCTTCATTGAGTCTGGTGCTGATTGTCTTGATTACTTGAAAAATGAATGTAAGGGTGAGTACTCTACACTACCAAACACACAAATAAGCATAAAGTCTCACCTTGCACCTATTTTGCATCATTTCTAACACAATTCATAAAATATATCACAGGCAACAATACTACTCCATTTAATTTAATTCAAACACCGATACACTCTCGGCATCAAATAACTTACCCACACACACAAAATTAACAAACAATAGTCCCGTGTACTCACTACACGCCAGCCATGCTTACGGTGGTACTGTGATCACATATTTTCACGTGGGCAGTCACGGGTCACTCAGCAAAGGTAGTGGTCAGAGGTCTAGTCAAGAAGAGAGTGTGTGGCCCGTGGTGCATCCGGTCCCACAGTCGGTGTCATCACCACTCTCTCTTCCCCAAGGTATTTCTACCGTCCTCATCTCCCATACCCCCAGTGTATCGCTGAACCATTCACAACACATCACACTAGCGTTAATCACGCCTTGTTCACACATTACAATATTCATTCTCAGTATACGGCACAAAGCCCACAGTCATGTGTTCGGAGGGCAAATGTACCCATCGAGAAGTAATAAAAGGTTCTTAAATTAAGTTCCCGAAATATCATCCCACAAGGATTGTTTTTCAATTACTAAGAATTTTCTAATTCAATTATTTAAGTTTTAAAGATGTGAGATTAATTAAAAGAAGAATTTATAACATTAATTCTAAAATTAAGAGCAAGGAATACGATGAACGTTTTGGTTAAACTTATCGGAGAGGAACCTAGGGCATATGGGTTTTCTCATTCAATCCTTTATGTTATTCTTCTGTTTAACTCTAAATTCGATTTCCTTGTGATTACCAATCATTCATACAAATACTATTAATACCCAATGGTCATGCAATATTAACATTCTTTTCTCTAAATTAACATCCCCAATGGTCATGCAAGACATCAATTTAAGAAAGCTTAAGGAACCTATGAACTTGTTAATTTAATAATAATTAGAAGAGAAAGATTAGTTTGGTCCACCTAATCCTTTGTCTTGTTTTACCCTATGATCTATTAATTAATTGAGGTACAGTCGCCTGATGATATAATTAATTAGGATTAAGAAAGAAGCATAATAGGATAAAATCTAATCACAAAAAGGAAATCAAATTTAGATTCAAACATCAAAATTTTATAAATTTATGAACAATAGTTTGCATAGCCCTAGCTATGGAGTTAGTTATTCATGCTAAAGAAAAGAACTAGAACAATCATAAACAAAGCCATAGTCAAAAGAAATAGCAAACTAGAGTATGAGATGTGTTCCCGGTCTTCAAGTACGATCGCTTGAAGCTCCAAGTCTCGCCAAGCATGTGTCAAGGATCCCGTGCAAGAGAGACGAGATAAGAAGTGTATCCGAAAGTCAAAGACTAGATGTAAAAACGTTTCCCTTTACGATGCCTAAGATCTCCTTTTAATAGGGTTTGAAAACCTTAAAGACTCTTGATAATTGGGCTTCTCGCAGACGAGCACGACCGTGCAAGGCCTTAAGCATGACCGTGCATGGGCTTGAAGCACCCCGTGCTTGTTTAAAGGGGTTTGGGCGTGCTGACTACTACGAAGCTCTAATATTCTATCAATTTGGGCCCAAAACACACACAAAGTATACTTGCGACAACTTTATACCAAACTGCATAATGAATATATATATTAGTGTGAGTACCAAATAAAATAAAGGTCAAATATGAATATATGGGCTATAAAATAGGGTCTAATTACAGACTTATCATCATGCATAATACACGACACTAAGGCCCACATTCGTTTTACAGTACACGACATGAAGCCCATATTCATACATATTACACGGCTCTCGGGCCCACATGTGTTCACAATATTCATTCAAATATACGACACAAGTGCCCACATACATTTACAACATAATTCCCACCTACATTCCTTATTCATTAAGTATCAGCATATTCATACCACACAATCAGCCATCACGAGTTTCCACATGCTATCACACCTCACAACATGCAGCAATTTCCATCAAATATATATTTTCTACCCTCTATCTCAACTACATTGCAATATTCATCAAATACATGACAATCAAACTCAAAGAGATAGGTTAGAGTCCCCCCTTACCTTGGATTGAGGAACCAAACTCGAATTCAACCACAAAAGTGCTCCATACACAGATTTTGGCCTAAATACATGGAAGGACTCCATGAGAATCCAAGGAAATTACGAAAATAGAGAAAGGGGATGAAAAACGAAAATCCTAACCATTAAAACTCACCTCCAAGCGTTCCCCACACGGATTCAACCTTCAATCTTGCTCCCGAACAGCTTTGGAGGCAATTTAATCAGTAGAATAGGGTTTTGGGTTGAGAGAATCGAAGAGATTTGGAAGGGAAATAGGGAAATAAAATCCCAATCCCTAAACCCTTTTTTAAAACCTCTCTGGTCGCGACATTCTCACTACAATGAGAAAGGCACAATTTCATGCCTCACGCCCAGGGGCCTCTTGCTACAGCGAGAATCCTCTCGCTACGGCGAGAATGCCTTGCTGCAGCATCCTACGTAGCTTGTTTTCAGCCCAATCAATCCAATTCAATTATACACACACACAGACACACACACACACACACACACATCCTTATACATTATACCCACAAAGATCATCATTACACATTCAAATGCAATTTACATCTTTCACCTTTACACATATATATATAAACACATATACATATATCAATAATAATTAATATTATAAAATTCAGGGCGTTACAGCAACAAGCAGGCCATTTTTCAGCCAATACTCAAACCAATTTGAAAGAGCATTGTAATGTAATCATCACAAGGAGGGGTAAGGTCATAAGTTGTGGAATGGGAGCTAGTCCAGAGGTGGAGGAAGAAAAGGAGAAAGATAGTGAGAGAGAAAAGGGATTGAATAAACTTGAAGAAAAAATTGATGGAAAAGAAAAAAAGTCCGAAGAAGAAGGAGATAAGAAAAGGAGAGGGAGAGGCAAAGAAAAAATGTCTCAAATGAAAAGATTACCATATCCCCTAGCTCTTTTTAAAAAGGAGAAGGAAAGGTAGTTCATGAGGTTTATGAATATATTCAGTAACCTGCAAATTTTTTTACCTTTCATGGAGGCCCTTGAACAAATGTCCCAATATGCCAAATTCATGAAGGACCTCCTCACCAAAAAAAGAAAGTTTCAAGATGAAGAAACAATTGAATTGGAAGCTGGATGCAGTTCCATTATTAAAAAACCCTTGCCAGGAAAGTCTAAGGATCTTGGAAGTTTCACCATTCTGATTTCAATTGGAGAGGTATCTATTAGTAAAGCCTTATTGGACTTGGGGGCTAGTTTGAACTTAATACCCTTGTCATTCTTGAAAAAGCTTGGAAAGATTGAAGTCAAGCCGACAAGGATAACCTTACAGCTAGCAGATAAATCTATTAAATATCTCTATGGAGTGACTAAAGATGTGTTTGTAAAGGTGGACAAATTTTTCTTCCCTGATGATTTTGTGGTGATGGACATATAAGAAGACACAAAAGTTCCTCTCATTCTGGGCAGACCATTTATGAAAATTGTCAAAGTTGTCATAGACGTGAAATATGGAACATTAACGATTAGAGCTTAAGATGAAGAGGATAAATTTGAAGTATTTCTATCCACCTAGTAGCCCAATATTGGCATTCATTGCATGAGAGTGGACATAGTGAAGGAGTCACCTCCTATGCTTGCAGAGTCAACTTTTAAGCTTAATGCTCAACAAGAGTTTCAACCCAATATTACTAAGTTTGAAATTGGAAACTGGAAGAAAAGTTATGAAAATTTTCTGAAGAGTGAGGATCATTGGATAAGCATATATCTTAGAGCGAAGGAGAAAAACATAGTTGAAACAATTCTGGGAGTTACCCTTGGGCCTGCCTCACCTAGGAGACATCCATCTCGCTTAGGCGAGGCTGGGCAATTTTCAAAATGGTGTCTCTAGACAAGTCTCACCTGAGAGCGAGGCATACCTTGCTCAAGTGAGAATTGTGGTGTCCAGGCAAGATCCAGCTTGCTCAGGCGAGACTGGGTGAATTTTGGAGTGGCTCGCTGGACGCTTCTCGCTCAAGCGAGATGGATCTCGCTTGAGCAAGACATGCAAAACTTTTGGTAACAATTTCTTTTTGATAAGCTCGCCTAGACAAGAGCATGCTTGCTCAGGCGAGATATTTAAAATGATAAGCTTCTCAAGCCTGGTGCTGAATCACATGAAACACCATCAACTGTTAAATATGCATCTATTTCAGCACAAACTTTACACAAATCTCCTACAGTGCATGTACAACTAGAAAATAAGAAAAATCAGTACAAAATTCAGCAATTAAAACATTAATAATATATATATATATATATATATATATATATATATATATATGCAACTTTGTAGGATGCTTGATGGTCTCAAAGATGTTGAATTGCACAACATTGTCTCCAAACTCCATGGATAGAATTCCTGAGTGCATATCAATCTTTGTCCTTGCTGTTTTTAGGAAAAGTCTACCAAGGATGAGTGCAAGCATGCTGGACTCTTCTGCCATGTCCAGAATGTAGAAATCAACAGGGAATATCAGCTTATCCACTCTCACTAGCACGTCTTCTACTACTTCAGCAGGGAATACAGTGCTTCTATTTGGCAATTGAATGACTACACTAGTTTGCTTCAGAGGGCCAAGGTTCAGAGACCTGTAGATTGATGTAGACATCACATTTATAGAAGTACCAAGATCGAGTAATGCATGGTTGAAGGTGGTGTCACAACCCCCTTTTCATAAGTAACTCGGCTCTATAATGATGCAAGGCATATATCTCAGCATAATGCAGCACAACTAAAATCATTTTAACAAATCTCAGTGTTATTAAATCAATTATCAACAGTTATAGCATAGAAAAACAACTTTCAAGTACTAAATCCTTTATATCTCAGCTTTTATCAAAGAGATCTAACAAAACCAACTCAAACCTTTCTCTAATAGCATATCAAACCATTCAAAACATAGTTCATAGGCTAAAGTAAACTCACCTTACCTTAGAACGGTGATTCACACTAGATCTACCGAATATTACTTGTTTTAACGTAAGATTTACCGAAGATTTAGCTTTAGAACAAAGTCTCTTCTAAAATCACCATGAGCTTCTATGAGAAAGAGAAGGAGAAGAGAAATGAACGATGAAACTAAATTCAAACTTGGGGAAACTTGGGGAAACTTACTTCAAATTCCTTACAACAGATGCAGAATCACAGATCTAGAGAGAAAATATAAGTTTAGAAGGGTTTAGTATGAGAGAAAATGGTAGTATATGGCCTTGGAACCTTTGATAAGTGTGAAGTGAAAATTTCGTGCAAGGACCCCTATTTATAGAAAAATATTTTTGGCACTGTTCATGCCAGAGTTACTGTTCACACCGACTCATTGTTTATGCTGAAATTATTGTTTGCACTGGAATTACTGTTCATGCGACTGTTCATCGACACTGTTCACTTTTTTTTTTCTTTCCAAAACTCCATCTAAATCTATTTCAATACCAAATAATCATTCAATTAACATTTAGCAAGTGAAAAAAAATTATAGATTACCTAGTAATAAATTACAAGCTTGACAATTCTCTCATTGAAAATAAATTTTTGTCCTAAAAAATTTCATCTCTCAGAGAAAAGATGAGGGTACAACTCTCTCATTCTTTCCTCTAACTCCTATGTGGCATTACCAGTTACTAGGTCCCAAACAACCTTTACTAATTGAATAGACTTTCCTTTAAGCTCCTTAACTCTAGTATCTTCGATACGAGCAACTAGGACTTCAAATCAATCTTAGAGAATACTTTAGCGCCTCTTAACTAGTCCATCAAATCATCAATATGTGGCAACAAGTACTTATTCTTGATTGTCAACTTATTTAGCGTATGAAATTCAACACACAACCTAGAACTCCTGTCCTTCTTTTTCACCAAGAGAATTGGTGCTCCCCAAGGTGATACACTCAGCCTAATCATCTACTTCTGCATTAGATCCTTAATATGCTCTTAAAGCTCCATTAACTCTTTTGGTGCCATTCTGTAAGGTGCTATAGACACTGGCTCAGATCCAGGAATCAAATCTATAGCAAACTCCACCTCTTTACGTGGAGGTATTATAGGAATATCCTCTGGGAGGATCTTAGGAAATTCTCGTACTACTGGTATTGACTACAAATTTTGCTTATTCTCTGCATTCATAATGGCCAAAAGAACATAACAAGAGACCCTTTCACTCAAAGATGTTTCTACTTGACAAGTAGAAGTCAGCTCAACACAACCCTACTGCTCAGGAAAAATCAAACACCTCTACCCACAATCAATCAGTACACAATTGGTAGTCAGCCAATCCATCCCTAGGATTACATCCAGTCCTGACATCGGGATACAAATAAGATTTACCTTATACCTTCGTCCCTCAACTACTATAGGATACCTAACACAAACTGTCTAAGTCTTGATTGAACTCAGAGTAGGTGTCGATACTACCAATTCACATCCTAGATCGCTCACTAATAATCCTAAGTTTCTCACACAAATATCTCTAATTCACTGCTCGGCCGCATCCGATCCATCAAATCTAGTAAACTGAGGTCGATCGTTCTTTTTGAACTCAAACAATCCCTGATATTCAGGAGGAGGTACATTTGAGGTAGCGGCTGCTGCTGCCTGTGCTGCAGCAGCGAGTTGATTTGTAGCTTGTTGTTACTGCATCATTTCTAGACTTTGCCTCACTGTGGCTACCATAGCCTCCTTGGTATGAGCCATTTGGTTCACGTTAACAAGAGGAGGAGGTTTTGCAGCAGATCTTCTCGGTCTAGCCATTTTAATATACAGAATAATACTAGCCTAGATTACTAACATTCAACACATTCAACAATACCACCACATAGCTATATTCATAGATTTAGCTTACAGTAATATATTCATATTAAGTATATCATAGTAATTTAATCAATTTAGCGCTTAGCATAACATCATATCAACATTCATAGCATTCACACAACATAACAAACATACTTATCTCAGTAATCAGTTACAACTTAGCTTAACAGCTTATTATTCACATAGTATGACTCACCTATAGCTCACCCAAGTATCATATAACAAAATTTCCTACATCTGTCGTGTCTAAGAACTGAGGTGATCAAGCTCGTTCCCCCACAACCTAATAATTAGAAATTTTGTTATATGATTCATAGCTAGAACCCACTAAATGCAATGCACAGCTGAAGCCTAGTAACCTAACCTCCTAGGTTTACCTAGACCATGCTCTGATGCCACTAAAATGTCACGACTCCTTTTTATAAGGAATCGAGAACATTATTTCTACACCACTTACTTATTTAAGATAAATAAATAACAGAAAATATAATTATAAAATTCACTTTTCATTCAAAATAAACAAAGTTCTTTACAACAAATATCTAACAGAACAACATAATATTACATTTAATTTATAGTACTCAAATACATAAAAGTTTTACTACATAACTCCCTCTATATAAGATCTCAAAATATAAAGAAAATGACTTTAATGTAAAATCACTCGACTCCAGCCATCTAACACTTCTCCACTGGCCCCTCAACCTGTGAAGTAGATGTAACACCTGCTACATCTGCTTACATATCACCATACGATTATCACAGTACACACGCACACAATAGCATAGACAGAAATGCAAGGGTGAGCTTACAAAAATAAAATAAAATCATATATATATATATATATATATTGCTCACAACAACAGCCCCATGCATTCCCAACCTATCTACTGCACAGTATGAACACGATTTCCAACTGGTTTCACAGCCTAAGTAATCCAAAGGAACCGAGTCGGCCTGGGAGCGAGCCATTCTGGTATTTGGATCCAGACAGCATAACACAACATAGCTCAACAAGCTCTATCGTTACACATCTACCCACTTAAACGTGTAACTCGGCTTTATAATGATGCAAGACATATATCTCAGCATGATGCAGCACGACTAAAATCATTTCAACAACTCAGCTAAGACAAGTTTATAATAAATCAGCGAAATCTTAGTGTTATTAAATCAGTTATCAGTAGTTACAGCCTAGAAAAACAATTTTCAAGTACTAAATCCTTTATATCTTAGCTTTTATCAAAGAGATCTAACAAAACCAACTCAAACTTTTCTCTAATAGCATATCAAGCTATTCAAAACATAGTTCATAGGCTAAAGTAAGCTCCCCTTACCTTAGAACGGTGATTCATACTAGATCTACTATATATTACTTGTTTTAACGCAAGATTCACTGAAGATTTGGCTTTAGAACAGAGTCTCTTCTAAAAATACCATAAACTTCTATGAGAAAGAGAAGGAGAAGAGAAATGAAAGGTGAAACTAACTTCAAACTTAGAGAAGCTTACTTCAAAATGCAAAATCACATATTTGGAAAGAAATATAAGTTTAGGTGGGTTTAGTATGAGAGAAAATGGTGGTATATGGCCT